AGGGCCGGAGCGCTGCGCCGGGCCTCCGCGGAAACAAAGGGAGGGGAACCGGGGCCCCGAAACACCCAGAGACCGCGGGCGTTTACGACGCCTTCGGCGTGAGTGGGGTGGCGCTCCGTTCATTTCATTAACGGACGGAAATATTTTGTAATCGATAAAATTACATCGCTCAACGAAATAATCTAAAACTGTTCGGGAACGACGTGACAGGGGGCTGGGGGGCGAGTTCCCTCAAAAATAAGCGGTCGCGTGTTCCGCAGCAGCCGCGCAGGCGGAAGGCGTTCCCGATGGCGGGGGCGCCCAGGGCCGCGCCGCAACCAAACAAAAAAAAACCCCAAACTGAACAAAACCCCCAAGCCAAAAAGCTGACAGCGTTAAGCGTTCATTGATCAATTTTTAAACAGAGCAGAGGAAATCTTCGGGGGCTACCAGGCATAATATTTTTTAAAAACCAAAAAAAAAAAAATAGGGGCTACACCATCTTCTCAAACATTGAACATGCCAACAACTAAATAGTGAAGGACGTGAGCTGAATGCAGGAGCTGCTGCGTGCTGCTAGGTGCCATCCACACTTTGTAGGAGTGATGCGAAAACCGATTTCCCTGTTTACCACTGACCGCCATACCTATCCTAAAAGTCATTCGGTCTACCTTTCCTGAGCAGATTTTAGCACACTATGTTTATATGAAGACTTTTCCAGATAGTACGTTTGCAATCTCCTGCCTGTATCAGTAGAAGCAAGGTCCCCATAAAGAGACACTTGTCAAAACCCATTCAAAACCCATGTTTATATTACAAAAAGAAAAACCTAGACAGCTTTGATAACACCATATGTTTCTTTCTAGTTGTTGCATCTCAGTCCAAAACAGAGTAGCTTACCCTTGGGAGGCAGAGAGAGGAGGCTTCAGCATCTTCAGTTTATTCAGTACTTAAGTCTCTCAGTCAACAACAGGGCCAGCCAGAGCCATCTGCTGCAGCGGGTTTTGTGAGGCACGCTGTGCAAAGAGCAAACACTTTCCCTGGGCCAGCCAGCTGCCACCTGAGCTTGGTGGATTGGTTGATGCCCCTACAGGTGGCCAGGCCATTTACTTTTTACCAGCAATTTTATTATATATTCAGCCCTTGAGCTCCAACACACTTCGTTCCCTCCCTCCCCCTGCAAGCATGTTCTTGAGTAATCAACAATCTGGTTGCATGCAGTTTTCTTCTCCGGCTTCTTCAGAGCCTCAGTTCCCATGCACTTCTCTTGGGTGGAAGCAATACACACCACATGCTCACCAGCACAACTGGGGTCTACACATACAAGGACTCCATACACTGAGCCGAAGATTAAAGCAACTAAATGAAACCAAACCAACGTGGAACGCAGGTTTTGGCAGCTAAGAAGGTGCATCTCTGCTGGCCTACAAGAGACATGAAAGTCACACCTGTATATCAGTTGTTTACCTGCATTTAACTGTGAAGCCATTTTAGTGCTGTTCCTTGATAGGGTAATAGTTTTGCTCTGATTGATCCCTAGTGAGATCCCTAACTAATCCAGGAGAAGTTGGGAAGTGAGAAGGGAATGCCTGAGACTACAGCTGCATCTTCAATTTCCTCTCCTTAGGCAGTGCAGAAAGGGCCTGAACAGAATACATTTATAGTATTACTCAGCCCCACCAGGCTACTTACGAGCTACTTTTCAGCAATTCAGATATAAACCATCTCATTGCAGTACTAGCAATAAAAATCCAGTTCACAGCCACATTATTAGGATTGTGCGAAGGCAAACGCTCAGATACAGTTCAGATAAACCCTTCCCACAGAAGGCATTTGGCTGTCGCATGCAGGGGGTGCAGAATTAAAAATTAGCTGGGGAAGACGTTAGCCCTGGGCTGCTTCAGTCCAGCAGCTTTGAAAGGAAATCTGCATTACGCACTTTCATATTTTGCTCGTCCCTTCCTGCCTTGTTACAGTTTTCCCCACATCCTACATTTCTACCTTATGTTGTGCCTGGCAGATGTGGAAGCAGATGAATTCCTCTTAATCACACCACAGCCCCAAGCTCTGGAACACAGCTGCAGCCAGCACCAAGGAGACGGGGAACTTCTGAGCAAAACCAGGGAGCTGTGTGCAAACCAAAGCATGTGCGACAGCTGAAGACAATCGAGCTGTTGAATTTCCTCTTTTGGTTTATTTCTTTTATCCCTGTTTCCTACACTTATCCATGCTACCATTTTCCCCATTTCAGCACCAAAGCCTCCTTCCCTGTTTCCAATTTGATGGCATAGTGCTGGGAACTTTGTTCTGTTCCAAGAAGAGCACAGGAAGCAGCTCCCAGCTTGCCATTCCCCTGGCTACTGTGAACCAAAAGCAAACTGTCAGTGAGAGCCTGTACTGTCAGAGTTACTGGAGAAGGCTCAGAGATCCTTAAAAAAAAGAAAAAAAGAAGTCACCTCTATAGCTATAGGCCTGCAGCACAACACCTGCATCCCTCTATCATCAAAAGGAAGAGGCTATATGAACTGCACTTGGAGTCATACCCTACGAGTTTAATGTGAAGATGATCTTTAGCTTATGCCCATACCCCTGAGAGCAGCAGGGGCTTCTCCACCTTCACTCAGTGCTTGCCATCTGTCACTCCTGCAGCTCTGCACATTGGCTTTGCCACCCTGCAAGATAACGGAGCTACAACTCTATCACCTGCTCTCTTACAGATTAAGGGGAGCTTACGTGACTGGACAGAAGCTGTGTCCTACCTGTACCTGAGGGATCACCTAATACAGATGTTTCTGTGTCTCTCTTGGGGCTGGAAGAGGGGGAATGGCTTGAAAACCATGTAGGTAATGATGCTTAATTCTCTGCCCTGAATGTTATGTTGCAGAATTTCCATCTGTGTCACTCATGGACAACCAGAGCCCTACACTTGTCCCCCAGGGGCCAGGATATGCACAGAAGATTGGAAGGCCTGGAAGAAAAAAAACCCAACAAAACAAAACCCCCAAACACCTCTCTTCCATCATTCAAGTCCCTTGAGATGAGGAATCATCTCATTTCTGCTTTATGTCCTTTCTACATTTGGAACACAGAGCACCAAACCAGGAAGCTCTCCTTAAGTTTGTAAACCCTCAGGCAGAACAAAGGCAGGACACAGCTGTTGTAGATGCCCATTGCTAGAAAGGAAGAGTAGAGCAAGCAGAGCCCAGCCCCCAGGCTGCCCGTTCCCACTGCAGCAGGCTAGCTACATGGCTGGTATTTGCGAGGTGTGTGCATTTATAATTGGAGACTCGCTATACTATTCCGGAGCATGAATACATGTAAGAGATAGAGAACGCAGTATTGCTGACGATTCCTTCCTCTAATTTGAGAGGTCAAGTCATGTGATTTTAAGTAACAACATACCCATCCCCCTCCCCAAAAAAGGTTTAAGTACAGTTGTTTTATGATACAGCAGGTCCCTTACCAGCTGTCTTGGGAATTTTCATGGTAAATGCAGCACACAACACCCTGTTAATGTCTGTCCTCCTCAGGGAGGGAAGGGGAAAGGGAAAGGCGTTTTCAAGGCTGTATGCAAAATACATTGTCGAATAAAGACAACTTCTCATCTTCCCATGGTTTAATGATTGCTGGAGGGAGATCCTACACCTTCTGAAAGGTCAGTATGTCCGTACCCAAAATGTTATGCCAAACAGCAGTACATTCACCTGCTCCTGCTGTAATGAGTGTTCTTCAAACAAAGTCTTTGAACAAATTATTTACTTTTTCAAGCATTTTTTTCCAGTCAAGCCCTTGTAGGTTGTATCGAGGGTTTTGGTAACAATGCTTATTTAGTTTCCAAAATGACGTGTTCTTTCTTGGTCAAAGGCAAACTTTGGTGCAGGGCTGCCAAGGTACACATTGTGTTCTCCTTCCCAACCATGATACTTCTTCTTGAAATCCCAAAGCACCAAAACTCTTCCAAGCAAAAAAGTTATAGAAGGCCAAGAAGTCTCAGTGAAAATCATCAGAAAAGTCACCAGAGCTTTAGGGAGAAGGAAGGGGAAGAAAACATTTGGCTCCCACTTATAAATAATTTAAGACAACCCAAAAATATCTGTACAAACACACATACAAACAGAAAAATCTCATATTCCGCAGATGTTGAGTGATTCAGCGACCTCTTGGGGGCACAGGTGGAGGATAAAAGCCTTCACAGCTTACAGGTCTATAAAAAAACCCAGAGAATATAAATACATTAAAAAATAGCAGAGAACAGGGTTCTGGAACAACACATTGCACACAGTAACATCATATCTAAGAATACTGTACAAGCAATAGTCATACATGAAGAAAAACAGGCTATCAGTGATTCAGCAACAGAGCAGATGCCAAGGTGCCAGAACCCTGTTCCTGTCCAAGTTATTTCTTCTGCTC